TAACACAGTCTACAAAAACACATAAACGAATGACTTAAACGTCGATGCACCTATCGACAGTTATTTGTGGCTGCAAGCCGTGAATGAGCACGTTTTTAAGCATGGCTCGAAGCTACACATCGAGTGCGCGTCCCACTCGTTTGCAACACTCGGCCCCGCAAGCGGGTCAACTGCTATGTGCGTCAACGGACAGTGGACAATCCCAGAATTGCGTTGCTCTAAGATCTGCAAACCTTTCCCGCTGCTAAGCAGCGCCTATGCAGTTAGAGGGGCCGATTCGTACACCATCGGCTCAGAACGAACGATCAGCTGCATGCCCGGAGTGCAGGGCGACGTCGGACGGGTCCAGGTACTGCGCTGCAACGACGACATGGAGTGGGACCGCATTGAACTAGAGTGTCGAATTCCCTGTCCGCAGATCAGTCTTGAGCATTTTCTGCGCAGTTACGGACTCAGCTTAAGTCCGGTTGCGCCTGCACAGAACGAGCAACGTGGCGTCGCCTCGGTTTACATGACTTGCGCGCCGAACATGCAACCGCTCATCAGTTCGCTGTCTGCGGCCACACAACAACGTAAAGCGTTTGCAATAACCGCCGACAGCGTATGTGCCGATCAGCATGGCGGAGTTTGTCTGGCCTGCATTGACGGTGAGTGGACGCGCCAGTTCGACTTCCGTTGCGAAATGCCGTGCGCTCCGATCCCGACGATGCACGGCTATACTTATGAATCTCTCAGCCCCGAGCTTGGCGCTCCGCGCCACGCATACGAAGTTTCTTGCGAGATTGACGCTCTCCCTTACGACGCTGCTGTGCAAAGCGCGATTTACACTTGCGTCAATGGAACTTACGAATCTTCTAACCCACGTTTCGGCTGCTACGCTTCCTGCACTCACCCTACGGACTACTTTCGCCATTCTTACTCTGTGAAAAACTCGGCAAACGAGGAGGTTAGTTTGAAGGTGGGCGACGCTGCTGCGAAATTTAAGTTTCGCCACGAGATAAGCCTTAAAAACATTGATCTCCAAAACGTCTTCTCCGTTAGCTGCTCCAAAAGCGCTCAGCCACTGTTGTTCCCATTCTTCCTCGACTCTGAATGGCGTAAGGAAGACGGCTCGCAACTTCTGTTATCAGACGTAGATCTCGCGCGTACGCCTTTAGACAACTACCTAGGCGCGCATCAACTCGTTTATTGCCACAACGCGCACTGGAAACCTCTACCAGAGAAATATGTTGATGCGCCAGCAGATGACACTCGCGTTGCTGAAGGAAACTTGCGCTGCGTAGAGCTGTGCAAGCCGTTGCCGCGGCTTGCAGGACTACGCTACCGATATTTGTCGGCGCCTTCCAACAACACTTGGAACTCGACAGCAAGTTTGGTTTGCGCGCACGACCGCGTTGGCGGGAGGCTTCAACTTGACGCGGGCGGCCAGTTATTCTTTGCTCCGCAGAACGTCTTGCAGCTGCGTTGCTTCGACGGCGCGTGGTTTTCTGTAGACGAAAACCTGAACGAGCCGCGGCAAGCCGACACGACCGCGATGCGCGAAACTACGCTGTTTTTCACAGGCACAGATCCCGTGCGCACTGCGCAGTCGCGGCTGCTTAAGCGATTTAACTGCGCGGACGGCTGTTCGCGCAATGCTCTCGAGGCGCACCTGGAAGCGCACCGCCTGAGCTTAGACAAGCCCGCAGAGGCTGCTTGGTACGATCACGGCACCCGGTTCCGCGTGTTTTGCGACTTGCCGGCACAGCCCTTCCTGCGCATCGAGCCGGACTACGTCGCGTGCGACGACGGGTCGTGGACCAGTCCTGTTTCGTTATGCATCGCTGATCCGTGCACTACCGAAGCTGCTGCGCAAGGCACCGCTGCAGCGGCAAGCATGTGCACAGAACCAGAGCAATCTGTTCGCGAGAGCGCGAGTTGCGATGTTTCCGACGTGCTAAAAGCTGATTCCAACTCGTCGCTGCGTGCGGCGCACTTTTTCGACTGGGTGTTCGGCAGAATGGAGATCATCATGAGCCGCGTGGCGAACACAAGCAGCGACGAAACCGCAAGCGCTCCGTTGATGCTTGGCTCTTTCGCTCTGCTTGTTTCGTACAATTACAACGCAGATGCAGAGTCTTACGACTTTGTGCGACCGGTAAAGCAGGTGCATGTCTGCACAGCGCGTGGTTGGATGCTGCTGCGTTCTAACGCCTCGCATCTGCGCGAGCTTCCACAGCAAGAACGCGGCTGTCACAACGGCGTCGCGGACACTGCTGAGTTTGGCGCGGACTGCGGCGGCATTTGTGACGCCGAGTGCGGCGGCTGCGACGATGGTCAGTTGTCTCCAGGCGAACTCTGGATAGACTGCGGTGGTCTTTGTCGGCCGTGCCGCTCGTGCAGCGCTTCGAGTCTACGACAGTTTGACAACCACAACTATTCAGTCTCGCCGCCCGAGCTGGAAAAACTAGGCGACATTTTAAACATTTCGAGCTCTGACGTCGCAAAGCAGTTTGCGCTGCAACAACGCTTCCACACTTTGCAGGTGACCTGCGCGAAGAATTCGGCGTGTCTCGGCAGTCGCAGCTCACTTCGGCTCATTTGCTTAGACGGCAGCTGGCACGCGCACGACGTCGTGGCCGAGTCTTTGCTCAGCGGGGAGAAACTTTCAAACTTGGTCGCCAGCTTCTTGCCATTTTATGAGTTGCGTTGCGTCAGCAAGGCGAGCAACGAAGCCGTCAGTCTGTTCCAAACGTCAATTTGGGAGTTCGCGCGTCAATTTACCTTTGACTTTTGTCTGCCGGGCCGCGTAGCAACGAGCGTGTCAGTCGCGCACAGGCACGCTGTCTGCTCTGCGACCGCGGAATTTCATCAGTTCTTGACTTCCGACTGTTTCATTTACTTGCGCTCGCGCTCTTTCAAGTCGCTCTGCACTGACGTTTGTTTAGAGACTCTGCTCGCTCTGCAACATACATTGGCCGTGCTCGTCGACGCGGTTGAGGAGTCGCGGGATGACACGTTTATGGCACCCGAAATGGGACTGGTGCTGGCTGTGCGGGCCTTACACCGCGTGAGCACGTCGCTCTGCGCTACGAGCTCGCCGCGCGAGGATCAGATGCGGCGGGTCGCCGCGGTCTCGCCGCAGTCGCTGTTCAACGAATTGCCAAGCAACTATTGCCTCGAAGTGTTTGACACGGACCTGAAGCAGACAACTACCTTGAACGAGTACCGCAAAACGGTAGATCTGAACGCGGCGTGTGTGCTAAACTCCTGTTTCCAGCATAACCTGGACATCATTAACGGACTGTGGACGCTTGCGAACAGCGAATTTGCCGCTTTGAGCGGCGAAGGCGAGGCGGACGCGCTAGGGTCACTCAACCACTTCCTAGCTTCGCAAGCTGTCTCGCCGAATCCGCTCTCTGCAAAAGCTGCAGTCAAGCGCTACATCCCGTTCGTGGAGGACTTGCGCTACAGCCAGGGGTTGAAGCAGTTGCAGTGCGTATCATCCTACGCGAACAGCTCGTGCACGCCGTACTTAAAATTGATAAACGAGCTGCTAATCAGCTGGAACAGCGACGAACGCGTGGTCACGAAGGCTGAGCGCGACGTGGTCGCTGCGCGCTACAACAGCGTGAACTTGTGCGACGAGGGCATGTGCTTCAGCCGTCTGCTGCGGCAGCTCGGCAGCATACTGATCGACCGCGGTATCCAGTTATCGAGCCCGTACCTGCGCTCGATCGGAAACTTTTTTGTGCTCTACGGGCGCTACTACTGCGACAAAAACCACCACGCGGTGTCGTGCGGCAGACTCGCGATTGGAAACATTTTGCAGGACTGGGCGCTCAGCTCTAACTCGGACTACGCCGCGCTCGCGCAGCCGCTGACGCAGACGCTGCTCAGTTTGACGGCCGCGCAAGGCGCTTGCGCGTGCGCCGAGTCCCGCATCAACGACGGGTACTGCGACCGCGAGTGTTTCACCTTGGCTTGCGCTTACGACGGCGTAGACTGTTTGTTCGCGTTCCAGTTCCCGGTGGTGTACAGCCGACTTACCGCCAACTTCAGCCCGCTAGACGAGTGCCATCCGTGGCGCGCGCCGCTGGCCATTTTCGGCGGGAACGGGCAGTGCGACCATTACCTGAGCAGCTTGGTGCTCGAAGAGGGTTGCTGTCTCGCCGACCGGCTGAACATATTGAAAGAGATGCTTGAGTCGGAATTCGTCACACACCCGACGCTCGTCGCGGACAACTCGGTCACACGACAGCTGCTCTCCGCTCTGTTGCAGTTTGCGCAGGAAACGGACGACGAGTACCTGAAAAACCTGCAGCTGTACGCGCTGTTCCGCGACGCATGGCGCGCGAGGCGCGAGGAACTGTTCAGCCGGCTGCACATCGAAGTCAGTTGCCCCGCTCCGCAGCGAGCGGCGCTTTACATCGACGTAGTCTTGCCTTCGGTACCGTACCTCGGCTTTCTGCGGCTGCTGGAGACGCGAACTGTCGTACAGCAGCTATTGCTGGATCGCTGTAGCGCGGGCAGCGGTGTTGCCGCGGACGCGGAATCTGGCTCGGCGGCCGCTTCGCTCGTAGAGCTGCTCAAAAGTCGCTTTGCGAGAACACTTCTCGCGCCGCTGACGGAGTTTGAACACTACTTGCTGCATGCAGTCGACGGTGGAAAACTGCAGATTCAATTCGAAGTCCGTTCCTCGCCCTTCGTTGCGGAGCTCCGGCAGACGCTGCAGCAAAAGATCAGCTCGGGCGAACTGCTCAAGGTAGTGGCTGACGCTGAAGCGCTTTGGCTCGCGTCGCTGCGCCCGTCGTTGGCGGACACGCTGTCGCTTGCGAGCTCGTGCCTGCCCGACGACGGCAAGCGACAACTCGGCGAGGCGGCCGCAGCCGTGACGTTTCGACTGGACGCAGCAGATCCGGCGTTCTACTGCTCGACCGACTTCAAGCGTCCGAATCACCCGCTAGCGGGCTACGAAATTGCTGAGACGGACTACTTAAACTACTCCTCGCAGGACATCTTCGTGCGAGTGCGTTGCCCGCACACGCCCGCAGGCGAGGCGGCGACGCAGCAGACGCTGGTCTGCGACTACAACACGTGGGTCAGCGTAGACTTGCAGCCGCTTCTCGACTGCCGGCCCAGTTGTCAACGTTTCGAACTCGCGAATGACCTAGACGTAGCGCTCTACCAAGTACACGTGGAAGGGCAGCGCGAAGGCGACCGCGCGGAGATCTCGTGCGCGCCAGGCACTGCCGGCAGCCGCGCGGAAGCAGTCTGTCGCGCGGGTCGCTGGTCGGACTGGAGTTTGGAGTGCAAGTACGTCTCTGCGGTGACCGAAACGTGCGGCGCGGCGCGGTTGGCGGACTTCGAGCGGCACTTTAATGTGCGACTCGTGCCGCTGCAGCCGCGGCTGAACTCCGTCGCCGTTTGGCGGCTCAGCTGCCAGAGCGGTTACGCAAGTTCCGTGCTGAGCGAGGCGCGCTCGTACCTTGCGTGCTTCGACGAACGGGCTCTGCTGTTTCTCGAGAGCCTCAGCGCGACGACTGGCGAGTTGCTGAGCCGCTCGCCGCCCAACGTGCAGTTGATCGAGCAGGAGCTCGAACGCTACTTGTCGGATCCTACGCTCGCGGCGCTAGCGTACCGCTTTGTGGAAGCAGACCAGAAGCCGTTCCTGGGCGCTGCGTTTGCGCCGCTGCAACCCGGACGACGTGCGATTCGGCTACTCTGTGCAGAGTCGCAGTTTGAGCTGCCGCGCATTGAGATCAAAAAAAACTTGAGCGACGGAATTTACATTGCCGCGGTCGGACTCGGCGCGTTAGCGGTCGGCGCGCTGTTTTGCGTAGCGGCGCTGTGTTGGCAACGCATCCGGTGTTCGAAGGCGCCCGCGCCGCCACCGGAAGCGAGCGCGTCGCCTGCGCCGGCCGCCGAATTCCAGTTTGACAACTTGGTGCGCATGTACGACAGCGTGAGCCGCGTCGGCGACTGCAAAAACAGCTACTACTCAGACATCGAGGCGTACACTCACGGCTGAGCTAGAGTTCAGCGGTTTCATGGTTTTGCGAGGCGCGGCGGTTAAACGTGTTGGGGTCGCTGAGCAGATCCACTAGTTGGCTGCAGCGCGACTCGTTCATCGCGACGTGCCGCTGGCGCTTGCCGCGCAGCACGATGACGTCTCCGCGCTGCGCGAGCGTCATCTCACAGACCGCGGGTACTTCGGCGCAGGCGAGTGTGAACCAGCGCACGTTCTTGAGGTCTCGCAACTTCGAAATGCGCTCGAGCTCGTCGAGAGTGGATCGCTTATCGCCAACGTAAAACACGCAGAACGCAGAGTCGCTGCGGCCGCAAAAGCCCGCTTTGTAGTGCTGCGGCGTGAACGGCGCGAGCGCTCCGAAGGCGCCGGCGCGCGCCTCGTGCTTGACGATCCACTCGCGGACGGTAAGCCGAACCTTTGCGATGTCTTCTTTGCCGACGGTGGTGGAGACGAGCGGCGCGTTGAACAAGTTGAACACGTCGGGCGCGAAAACGAAGTGCACGACAGAGCCGGGCTTTACATGCGGTTGCAGTTGCGCCTCGAGCTGCTTGGAGAAGTTGCGAGTGGCCGCGTCGCGTGCGGTCGCGAAGTGCGAGACGTTTACGAACTGCGCGATGTCCGCAATGCGGTGCAGCTCAAAGAGCACGTTAAAGAGTGAACGCGCGGACAGCTTCTTGGAGTGCAACAACACGAGCGGCTTGCTCTGCGGGCCGTGTGCGGCTTGCAAGTCAGCGAGGCTCGCTGGCTTGGTGATGAAGCTGACTTTGTCGAGGTACGCGCGCACGGCCTTCGCCTTGCTTTCGGCGCCGAGTCGCGTAAAGCGCTCGCCGGTTTGGTCGCGGCTGTAGACGAGCTTCGCGTGGTAGAAAGTGCCGACGCGCGCGAGCACGCTTTGGCAGAAGCGCGTGGGCCGCGAACAGTCGAGCACTGCGGCCTGCTGCTTGCTCTGCACAAAGCTGGTGCTGCTCGCAAACTCGGCGAGCGCGTTGAAGTCTTCTTCGTCAGCGCGCGTGAAACTGAAAACGAACAGCGGGAATTGGTGCTGCAGTTGCGCAGCCGCGATGTTGCCGTTGAAGTAGCGCAAGTCCGGGTGGTTTTGCAAGAGCTCCTGCAGGCGCGCGTTGAACGGGAACTGGCGCTGCTGGAAGAACTGCGGGCCGCCGAAGCCGCCGCCGAAGCCGCCGAAGTCCCCGAAGCCCCCGCCCCCGTGGCCGAAAGACCCGTTTTGTTGAAAGAAGAACGAGCCGTTTTGAAACGCGCCGCCGCCGAACGGGCCGCTCTCGCCAAACTGGCCCGGCTTCGCGTACGACTTCGCGAACTTGCCGTGCGTGTTCTTGTAGTTCTGCTGCCACTTGACGCCCTCCTCGCCGCCGGAGTCGAACGCCTCTTTTAGCGGCGGCGTTGAGAGCACGTCGTAGGCCCAGGCCACGTCTTTGTACTGCTCCTCGTGGCCTGGGTTCTTGTCAGGGTGGTACTTTTTGAGCAGCGCGAGGTACTGCTTTTTGAGCTGGCGCTCATCAAACGGCTTGCCCTTTTGGACGCCGAGAATCCCGTATGGGTTGCGCTCCGCGGCGAGCAGCGCCAGCATGAGCGCGCAGAGGAGCTTCCACACCATGCTGCGGTAAAACGAATAAAAATAGAAAAACGACGGCGATCAAATTTGCGCGACTAGCGCAGTGCATCGAGAAAGCGTACGTCGGCGAGCTTGCGCAGCAGCCACTGCCGCGTGAAGTACCACGTGCAGAGGATCAGCACAACAGGACTGACGATCGACACGAACAAGTACTGCGTGAACGCCATTCCTTCCAAAAATGAGCCGCTGCAGGATCGGACGGCTATCGCGAGAAAGCTCGACACGGCTTCGAACACGTCGAGCCGGCGGCCGTCGGCCGGGCTGCCGATGAAGGAGTCGTAACACTCGATCGGAATCGGCTTCGTGCCGTCCGTGTGGTAGTAGCGCCCCAACTCAAACTCCGGGTCGTGCACGCCGGGCGTCTCCGGGTAAGTCAGGGTGAAGCCGTGTTGCGGCGCGACGCCGAGCGCCGCTCCGGCAAACACGGCCGCGATGCACCGCGCGGACTCGCGCAAAGGCTGCGAGAAGCGCAGAGAGCGGCGCATGGAGTCACGGTCTTGCCCTGACGCAGCCGCGTTGTGTCTTTATAAAAATATTTAGTATTATGGCGGGGCCTGACGTGACTTCCACGCTCAAACTCGATTCGTGCGCGTTTTCAGCGCAGAAAATCTACCCAGGAAAGGGCTCGGCCGTTGTGCGCAGGTAGGTGCTGCACGCACGCACGCAGGGACGGCAAGACGCAGACCTTTGCCAACGCGAAGTCTAAGAGTCTCGCGAACCAGAAGATCAAGAACTTCCGCGTGAGGTGGACGCCGGCGTGGCGCAAGGCGCACAAGAAGGCGCAAGACACGGGCGTGCAAGCGCGCAAGAAGACGCGCAAGGTTGTGAAGGCGCCGGTGTCGATCGCGGGGCTGGACATGAAGCACATCGAAGACGCCAAGAAGAGCGCGGACGCCAATGCGCGCCCGCCGCTCGCGAGCAACAGAAAGAAGAGCGGCAAGGCCGCGTAGCCGCCGCGGCGCCGCGCGCCTAGCCGTGTTCTTCGTCCGACGTGTCGATCGGCGAGAGGCAGATGCGCGTCAGCGTGCGGTCTTTGATCTCGTAGGATTGGTCGACCTGCAGCACTTTGTGGTGGCGGCTGCGCGCCAGAATGATTATCGTTCGCGTTTTTTTCATTTCGTTGAGCACGCGGTAGAGCGTAAGCTTAAGTTCCTTGTCGAGCGACTCGAAGAGGTCGTCGAAGATCACAAAAGTCGAGTCGCGCAGGAACGCGCGCGTAAAGAGCAGACAGACGATCTCGCCGGTGCTGACGGCGATGCCGCCCTCGCCGATGGTGACGTCAAAGCTACCAATGCTCGAGACGATCTCGAAAAGTCCGATGTGTTTGAGCACGTCGACGAGCTGCTCCTTGCTCGGCGGCGGCGTGACGCCATATGTGAGTGATTCGTACAGCGTGCCGAAGACGGCTTCCTCGGCGAAGCGGCAGTACAGAATGTCGTTGCCGATGACTTTCCTCGCAACGGTATCGAGTCCGTACGCGCCGTTGCAAATGATGCGCCCGCTCGCGGGCTGCACGTCGCGGATAATCAGCCGAGCGAGAATACCCTTGCCGGAGCCGGTGCGGCCGATGATGTATGAGATCGTGCCCTCATGGAACTCGGCGGAGGCGTTCACTAACAACGGTTCGGAGTCCGCGAAGCCGAATGTGCAGTTCTGCAGTTCGAGCGACTCGAGTCGCACGTCCTCTAGCGCGCCGTCAGGGTGCTCCGAGAGCTGCAAAATCACATTGAGCAGCTTAATCTGGTGCAAGTTGATAAGCAGGTCGCGGTAGCTGTCCATGCCATCCGTAAGCTCGACCTCCAGCGTGTCATACAGCGTCCAGATGTACGTGAGCAACGCAATCGTCGTCTGCGGCGACTTGCGGCTGGTCAGGTGCAACGCAAACATCGCGGTGCTCAAACGGCCGACGCTGTAGAGAAACATCGAGATAATGTTCATTGAGTTCAGCGAGAAAATTTCTTTCTTGCGCACTTGCTCCCACAGCTCGTACGCCTCCCTGCAGTTTTCGTACTCGTAGTCCGCGGTGTTCCACTGCTGGATGATGTCGTAGCGATTCACCGCGCCCGTGAGCACGCCGAGCATAATGGAGTCGGCCTCCATCGCCTTCGTTGCAAACTTGCGGCGGTACAGGCCGTACACCGCAATGAATGCGCAGTTCAGCAATAAACTTGCGAAGAAGAATGTGCTGACCGCGCTGCCGCCGTCCCGGGTGAGTTGCACGCCCGCGAAGAAGAGCCGTGCGGCGAGCGGCAATACGTCGAGCACGACGGTTTCCATGAAACTGCTGACCGCGCCGATGTTCGACGTGACCACGTCGCTGATCTCGCTTGGACCGTGCTGGCGCAGCACAGGTGAATCAGTCTTCTGCAGCTTACGAATGCACTGCAGCGCAATCCTCTTACTGGCGCCCTGCGAGTTACGCAAAAAGACCGTGCGCGCAATGTCGTCCGCGCTGGACGCCACGAAACTCAGCAACGAGGCGATGCTCAAGTACTTCGCAGCGCTCAACACATGGTACGCACCCTGCGAAAACGACAAGAGCTCGCTGGTGAATGCGCCGAAGATGCTCGGACTGAGAATGTCGCAATATGCAGCCACCAAACCGAGCGCAACCGAGGTAACAAAGGTGACTTTAGTTTTGCGGCTCTCGCCCCATGTGTAGCGGAAGGCGAGCTTGACTGTTTCCCAAGTCGAAAGCTTGCTCTGCGGCTGCTGCAGCAGCTTCTGCTCCAGCGAAAGGTTCTCAGACAAACTGTGTACGAGATTCACATTTGAGCTGCTTTCCTTGCTCTCGTGCGGGTCGTCCGCCATATTTAATGTGCTAATAAATGCAGCTCTTTTAACCAGTACATTTTAGCGGCGTCGGGCTCGCGTTGGGTAGTGCGTGGCTAGCCACTGCAGCAGCCCGCGCGCTCCGCGCCGCGCGCGGTGTCCGCGCCGCCGCGTTCTTCCGCAAACGCGCCCTGCAGCAAGTTTAGCTTCTCCGTCTCTAGTAAACTCCGGAACAGCCCGCCACGCGTAACCAGCGTGCGGAAGTCACCTTCCTCAACCACGCAACCCTCATTCATCACGTAAATGTAGTCGAAGTCGCGCAGACTCGAAAGCCGGTGGGTTACCACCAGCGTGGTGCGCCCGCGCGCCAGCCGCTTGAGAGCGCGCGAAATAACCTCTTCGTTCTTCGTGTCCAGTGCGGCTGTGCACTCGTCAAGCAGCAGCAACGGCGTGTTCCGCAGCGCTGCGCGCAGCAGCGCGACCGCGTGCTTCTGCCCGCCCGACACGCGCTCGCCACGCTCTCCAACTGACTTCTCGAGCCCACCCAAGTCGCGCAACAACTTGTCAAGCCCAAGCTCGGCCGCTTTCTCCCAAATCTCGTCGTCGGATACACTCCGCGTCACGCCGAGCAGCAGATTGCGGCGCACAGTGCCGTTGAGCAGCACAGTCGACTGCGGTACATAGGTGACGGCGGCGCGCAGCGAGGGGCAGTTCACGCCGGTAACGTCCTGCCCGCAGACGAAGATTGAGTCTTCTGCGGGCTCGTGCAGCCGGCAAAGCAAACGCAGCAACGTCGTTTTGCCGCTGCCCGAAGGCCCGACCAACGCGACGCGGCTCTTGCCCGGGATGTTCAGAGAGACCTTAGTGAGCGTGCGCGCAGCGGCGCCCGGATAGGTGTACGACAAGTTTTTCACTGTGACACTCCCGCGGTTGATGCGCAAGCTTGGGCCATTCTGCCGCGCGACGCGTTGGCTCCGGCGCACCAGCGCATTAATCTCGCCGAGCTGCTGCCAACTGCTCGCGAACACGCGGAAAGCAGTGCCGAGAAACAGCAGCGACTGCGTCATACTGTTGAAGCTCGCCGTGAGCGCTGCAACTTTTTTCAGCTCCGCGGCCTCCGGCGCGGTCTGCCTGCGCAGCAACTGCCACAGCGAGGAGAAAAGGCTCGTTTGCAGCATCGAGTTCTGAGTCGCGTTCAGCACGCGCAGCGTGCGTTCAACCACGTGCTGCTTCTCGATGTACGCGTCCGCACACCGCATCGACTCGCTCTCGAAATTGCGGCTCACGTTCATCGAACGAATCACGTCTGCGTACGCGATGCTGTCCGTCAAGCTGCCAGCAAGCCGCCGGCGCGACTCTGCGGCCGCGGCGCGCAGCCGGATGCGATTCTGCGTGTATAACAGCGTGAAGCCAGCGTACGCACCGACCGCGATCGCGCCGAGCGCGCGGCTCGATTTTTGCGAAAAAGCGCTGAGGTTTTTCACCAAGTCCTTAAAGTCGAACGCGATCGGGATGAAGCGCTCGGCAATATTGTGAAAAAAGTTCGCGGGCACGCTGAACAAGTCCAGATAGATCTGCGCCAGCGCGCCGGAGCGTGCTTCCAGCAGATCGGCAGTCGGCAATTGCGAGATAGACGCAATGAGTCGCGACGTAACCTCGCGCTCCGCTTCAGCGATCGCGTACGAAACCACGAGCGGCCGCATTTCCTTCGTCAAAATCTCGCTCATCTTGTAACACACGTGGCGCTTCAGCGCGATCTTCGCAGCCTGTTTCGCTGACTGCACGTCTCCCGATGCCGCAGTGGACAAGGCCTGGCTAAAGAGCCCGAGCTGCGAAGCCGCGCGCTGCCGCAGCCGGTTGTGCAACAAGGTTATTGTAAACGCTGCACTCATCTTTGCAGCCGAAGAAGTGCTGTTAGGACAGACTAACCGGATGCGCTGCGCGGCGTCGACGACACCGAGCTTGACTCGGCTAGGGCGCAGCCAAAGCAACTTGGCCGCAGCCAAGCGCGACGCGCGCTGAAGCGCGACAGCGCTTCCACATGCCGTAGCTGCAATCGAAAGCTTCGCCGAGCGATCGTAAACCGTTCCATGCAAGCGTAGACTACTGCGCTGCGGCACGCGCAGACGCAAATTCAGTGTCATTGTCAGACCCTACTGATTTGGGTTATTCGCTAAATTACCTATTCTGACTAAAAATTGAATAGCTATCCCTTTCGCTGGCCAAACTGAGTCGAAGCGAAGCAATTCGCAGCTCTGCACCGCGAACCCTACCGCAAACCACGTGACTCAAACGATAGCAAGTCTGGTTTCGAAGCTAAACTGTCGCCAGTTAGCAACCACTCGGACTAAGCTGCAACGCTAGTTCTCCGGAGCTCCGGCTCTGCGCAGCTCGCGCATCGTGTCTTCTAGCTCGAGACGTTCGTGGCTTTCGAGCGCGCCAAAGCGTTTAGCAAGCAACTCGCGCACTGCGTCAAGGTCTCTGCTCGAGCCAGTGGCTGCGCGGTTCTCTACCAACTGGTGCAGAGCAGCGAGATGCGCAACCTGCAATATTCCAAGCTGTGAGGCGTTGAAATTCAGCAACGCAGACGGCAAAATGTTCTTGCTCAAACTGTCGCTTGCGATCTCCGCAAGCAATCCCACCGCATTTTCGTCGTTAATCTCCAGCTCAACAACACGCTCCAGCAGCACGCGGATCGCAGGCCACGATTTGTCGCCGCGCAGCACGTACGCGCAGCGCATCAAATTTGCGACGAGCCGCGCGTGATGCTCAAATCCAGCGCTGGTCTTTCCCAAGTGCAAAGCACGCAACACCGGCTCCGAGAACTCCAGCAGAACTGAGAAGTAGAAAGGACTCAGGTCATCCGCTTTGAACAGAGCGGCATACTTAAGCAAAACGTAGTTGAGCAGGTTGCAGAGAGAAACCGTTTTGAGCAGTAGCACGTAATCGCTACTCCACAGGAAGGACAGCAGTCGCGTATCGGCCAAGTCGCTGAAGCGCGCACGCAACTCGCCTCCGGCAGTGGTAGACAAATCTAGCGCAAACAGCGCAGGAGCGGCAGTCTGCGCAAGCAACGCGCACTCGCTGGCGCAAGCTCCGGCAGGCAGCACGTTAGCGGGCAACTGGACTCGCAGCTCCAAACGGTTTGCAGAGCTGATTGCGAGCTGCTGCTCATCTCGCGCCGCAACTAGAAACAAATAAGCCGAGCTGTGGTCGCAGAAGTCCAAATTGCCGCACGGTTCGATGCTGCCGGGGCGCGTCGCTAGCGGGTCCACAAGAATTGAAAGATCGGCGCTGCGGCGGTTCCGGATTGCATGCAGCAGTAAGCAGCGCAGCAGCAGCGCAAAGCGCTGCTCGAATTCCTTATCGCATTCACGCGACGCTGTCAACCGCAACTGGAAGACGATCCCTAGAATGCCGCTGTAGAGCGTGTCAGTGAAAATTCCGTGCGCGTCGAAGACGTGCGCAGCGTCGACCTGGTCGGCCAACACCTCTAAAAAGTTCGCAAAGCCTTTAGCCACGAGTAGCAAACGAGCTTTCGCGGGCACCTGCTCGTGCCACAAGTGCTGCTTCTGCAAGAACTTAGGATCGACTGCGCAACTCAACTTCGAAGCCAAAGGGCTGAACGCCTGCATTTCGCCGCGACAGAGCGCCTTGCAGACGTGCACCACGGCATCCACCGCAGACGGGACGTACGTCACTAGCTCCAAGTTATGCCGCGCAACGGCGTTTGCACAGTGTAGCAGAAGCTGCAGCTGCGCGAAGCGCGACTGCTTCGGGAAGGCGAGCGCAGAGAGCAGTATTGACTGCGCAACTGGCGGGCTCACGCTGCGCGCGACTTGCACGCAGACCGCCTCGAAGTGCGCTGCGGCAGTCAAAGACACAGCGCCGCCGCCGCATGCCTGCTGGCTCGCCGAGGTCGCAGTCTGAAGTACTAAAAAGTCGGCCGGCGATTCTGAAAAGTCTTCGGCAAGCAAACCGAGCAACGGCACCAAGTAGACCAGAAACTGCTGCAGGTAGAACGAGGGTGAACCGCGACTGTTGCGGTTTTCAAGCTCATCCGCGATGTAGCGGCACAGCTCGCCAAACTGATCAGCGTCACGCACCGCGTTCCCGACTGCTTCCGCGATGCAGCGAAAGCTATCTTCATCAGGCACGCAGTTCGCGCTGATCGAGTTCGCCGGCAAAAAGCCGCGAGAAACCAAGCACTCGACCAGCCACATGAGCTAGACGGTGCGCGCGAGCGTCAGCGATTACGCTAGCGAACTTGAGCGCATTGCTGACTGCGGTCGAATAATGCTTTAAAAAATAATATAGCCCAGCTAACACCGAATTAGGCCGACATCGATGACCACGCAGTTTCGCTATGAGCCGCGCCAAGAGGCTAGCGCGCGCCCAAAGCCAGCTAGCTCTCAGCTTCGCGCATTCTACGTGTTTTTTCTGCTGCTCGGCGTAGTGCCCATTGCGACATTGTACCCCGCCAAAGCGGCGCTGCGACTGATTGCAGGCGAACAATACATGCGCGCGCACGATATGATTCCCGTCGCGCTGAGTCTGCTGTGCATCCACCTGATCGTCGGTCTGTACACGTACCTGCAACTCAAGAGTCAGGATGCGGCACCGACAGAAGGAACGGACTCCGCTTCGCACAGGAAGCAGCCCACGAGCACGCCTCGCGACGCGGCTGCGAAGGCAACGGGCGCTAAGCGGTTGACGCGACGGCTAGGCGACATGCAGACGGCAGGTGCCGGCCAGCTCGCGGCCGGCAGCGCTGCCGCGGAGAGTGCTGTGTGCAACCCGCTCGTCGCGCAAGTCGAGAGCGACGCAAAGCAGAAGCATAGCAAAGCAGAAGAGCGCACCAAGGGCGCCGCAGCACCCGAGATCGGCGCGACGTCTGAGGCGACGAGTCGTGAGACTACAGCGGAGTGCAGCGGCGCAAATGCGCCAGAGAAGCAACATGGAAAAGAAGGTAAGGACGTCACGGCGCAATCGCGGAAAGGCGCTGCGAACAAAAGGAAACCGACTAAAAATAAAAACAAATCTCTATCGAAAATAGCCGCTTACTAGAAGGTTCGCCGAAGAAGCGCGCAGCGTATCTCGCCGTCCAGAACATGACTGCGCACATTGTAGCGGCGCTCGCTAAGCTCAAGACGTTTCGCGCTTCCTACAATGCCAGCGCCTGCGCGTTCCATTTCGAACGCTCAGAGCAGCAGGCTGAGCAGAGCCAGCCTCGTTTCTACTGCGCGTCTCTCGTTGGCGAACAAATCGTGCTGCGTCACAGTTCCGGCGCAACGGAGTCGCTGCCGCTGACGTCGCTCGACAGCGCGACCGACGCGCCTGCGTTGAGCGCAAGCAAGGGATTTGTGGTCTCTCGGCAGGACGGCGTGGCTGCGTTTTGCTTTTGCGCGGGTGCCGCGAACCCCGTGTTGGCGGTGGCGCGCAAGACTGGATTGCTTTCGTTGTTTGCTCTGGAACACGCCGCACGGCTGCAGCACTCAATTTCGGTGCCGCTGAACCGCGCGGCGATTACGTTTCTGACGGGGCACCCTACACTGCCAGTGTTCGCCGTAACTACGAGTTTGAACGCGATCTGGTGCTACTCAGAGACCGGCAAATTGCTGGTGCGGTTCGCAGGCTTCTTAGAATTCGCGGACTCGGTGACGGTGGTCAAGTTTCACAACTCCGCGCCGGTGTTGTTCGTGGGGTCGAACGCGGGGCTGCTCTACTTGTTCGACTTGCGGTACAAGACGTGCGTGCATATCTGTCGCGTGGCGCGCGGCGTCATCACGGACGTCGACTACGTGAACGTCGAACTGAAGGGGCGCACCGTGATTCTCGCAGTTGCCGCTGCGAGCGACGGCTCGCTGAGTCTCACGTCGACCGAAGCGGCGCAGACGCTCGTCGAGAAGCGCTGCAACCTGGCATCGTTTTCGTTCGCGGGCAACTGCGAGCCTTGCTTTGGGGGCGAGGAAAACGCAGCGGCGAGCGCGCAGGCGGAACGCGTGACGTTCGCAATTGCGAGTGAGAAGTGTACCCCCGCCGATCCGCTGCTCCGTGCTGATTTGCGCTGCGAAGTAGAATGCTTCGTGTTGCTCCCGAAGCCTCGCGTCGCGGCGCACTTGACGGCCGCGGGCACGGGCACGGGCGCGGACGCCGCGCTGAGCGCGTCCTTTTATCCGCTGGTGTGCGAGCGTAACGGCGCATACGCAGTGTACGACCTCGTGACTGCGCAAAAGGTGTGCTCGCTTGAGCGACTGCACAGCGGCTTCTCGGTGCCTGTCAGCGCGGCGGTGCGCTTCGTGCCGAACCAGGCTCGCGACTGCTTCTTAACGCTGGGTGCGAGCAACCAGGTGACGTTTTGGAGCTGTGCAGCCGGCATTTCTCCGCTGCACGCTCTCAGCGACATAGAGCCCGACATCGCGTGCGTCGCAGCGGACGCGTCCGACGCGCGGCGCACGGTGATGTACCGCAACGGGTCGCCGGGCTTTTTGACGCGCTACACCGTCGATTGGCATAACAGCCAGATTTTCAAGGACGAAATGCAGCTCGGCTTCGCCGAGGAGCTCGTTTCGATCGCGCTGTCGAGCAACAACCGCATGATCGCGCTCGCGGGCAACGAGGGCAGCGTCAACGTGTTCAGTTTGCCGGAAATGAACCCGCTGCTGCGGTTGCGCAGCACGCTGACGGGTCCGCTGCACAGCGTGATGTGCCACGCGCCCGCACACAGCGAGTCTTTCGCCGGCGCGTTCGTGGTGACGCTGGACCGCAAAAATGTGTTGCGCAAGTGGGTGATTGACGAGAAGTGTGTGGACAAGACCGCGTCGGACTTTGTGGCAACCGTCTCGCGAAAGGACGCATACTGCGCGGCGCTGAGCGCGCAGGGCACGCTGCTAGCAGTGGGCTGCGCGGACAAGCGGCTACATTTGTTCGACGCCGCTCGGCTCAAGCTGCTGTACGCGGAGAAGGTGCACGACGCGCCGGTGAGCGCAGTGGCATTCTCGAGCAACGGCCGGCAAGCGTTCACTGCGAGTGTGGCGAGCACGGTGGCGGCACACTCGATCACCTTCGCGGGCGAGAAGGCAGAGGTGAACTGCGTTGCGAAGGTCAGCGGCGTCGACGCGCCGGTCGACTGCCTGCTGGCGTACGACGAGAACCGTCGGCTGCTTTGCGGCGCGCGGAACGGCGCGCTGTTCGCGGTGGATCTGCAGCGGCGCAGCATAGACGCAGTCTTTAGTGGACATGCGGCAGCGGTGGCGCTGCTGCTGCAGGTCGAGCTAGCGGCGGCGACGTGCTACTGCTCGCTCGCGAGCGACGGCTCGATCATTCTCTGGCGCGACGTCTCCGAGCAGGCGGCAGAGGAGAAGGCGCGCGAGAGCGCGCAGCGGCGCGAGGAACTCGCGAACATCGAGGTCGAGCTGCAGCAGAGGAACGTCGCGCGCGCGCTGCAGCTTTGTCTGCAACATCGCGCGCTCGAGAAGCTGCCTCTCGCGCTTGCGCGGGCGGCAGAGCTAATCGGCGAGCTCGACACGTCCGCCGCGCCCGAGCCTGCTGGCTCCGAGCAGTGTGCACTGCTGCGCGGACTGCTGCCAGCGCTGCTGGACTTTGCCGCGGAGCACGGTTTGCTCGAGGGCTACGTGCTGAGCTGCCTGTATTTAAGCCGCGTGCGGCGGACCGCAAATGAGGCGCTGGCGTTCGCCGACGCGCTCGTGCACTCGCGACACTTCGCGGCGTGCAAAAAGATCAACGGGTTTTACGAATTCATGCAGTTCTACCAGCAACACATGCGGCGCAAGGCGCAGCGCATCGACGCGCTGCTCGAGAGAACGCACCTGCTGCGCACCGCACTGGGCGACGCGTAGCGCGCGCAGCTCGGCTCTAGCAGCAGTGCGAGAAGAGTGCGAGCACCGAGCGCCACTGGGTCCAGCTGTGCAGCCGGCGGCCCGCGACGTGTCTGTTGTACGGCTGGCAAAAGGTGATCACGCCCCAGTTCGGCTTCAGGTTCGCAGTTTCTTCAGCGAGGTACGGATTGTCGTCGATGAGGAAGTCGCCACAGATGCACTGCTTGTTCCACACGGGCACGACGCGGCGCTTGAATTCGGGCCCGAACTGACGCTCCGCCCACAGCACTTTCTCTTTGCAGGAGCGAGCATGAAAAACGGCATCTGGCCGCGTGACAAAAAGCACGTCGACGCCGGCGGCCAGAAAGCCGAGCACAGCTTCGCGCGCGTGCGGGCGCAGCGGCATCTCTCGCCAAAAGCCGTCGAGCTCCGCGACGCGCTGTATTTGCTCCCGCAGCTCCACCGGGAAGTTCCGCTCCATTTCGTAGTGCGTGCGCTCGTGCGGGCGCAGACGGGGAAACGGCGCGCCGGTCATCGCGTCCATGCAGCGGTAAAACTGTGCGTCCCAGTCGTTCAGCGTGTTGTCCAAATCGATCAGCAGCCGCCGCGTGCCGACGACGGCTGGCACGGAGGTGATCGAGCGGTCACTGTCGTCGACTTCGCACAAACAGTTCTGTACCGGCTCGGCGGGCGTTTCGCTCGGGACAGATTCAATGCACGGCGTCATTTTGTGTGCGAAAAAAAAAGCGAAAAACTACGGAAAAGGCCGCACGGCGCTGGCCGCGACCCAGCCGTGGATGAAGCGCTTGCTGGCGTGCATTACGTACGCCCAGCCGCCGAGCTCGCACACAAGGCCCAACACGGTGCCCTCCGCGAGCGCGGTCGAGGACTCGCCGTCGCCGTCGGCCTCTTCGATGGTCACCGCGCGCGCGAGTCGGCACTGCTCGAGCCGCGTCTCGTCGAACACGAGCAGCGCGTCGCCGGCGTCCGCGTCCGGCTCTGCCGCCGCGCGCTTCTCAAGAAAGGCCAAGAACTCGGCGAGCCGCGGCTTGCTGAGTCCCGCGCTCACGAGCGCGCTCCAGTCGCGCAGCACGCCCTTCGCCAGCCGCGGCGCGCCGCGCGCGAACCACGTGGGCGGCCGCAGCTTGGCTTGCCAGCCGATGAGCGCCTGCGCGTCGGCGTCGCCTGCGCGCGGCTCCGAAATGCTCGAAATGATTGAGCGATAGCTCAGCGGCGCGGCTTTCGCCGCTGCGGGCTTCGCGGAGGGCTGCGCGGCGCTCGCCAGCTCCGGCGAGTCGCCGAACAACTTTTTGGATTCGTCCGCAGTCATCGCAGCGCAAGCGAAGCGGTGGCTGAGCGGAAGCGAAACAAAAGTGAACTGCAACGGGCCAAGCGCTGCGTAGCGGCTCTGCTCAGTTGCGAATAATTAAAAAATATTCGCTGCACGTCACGGCGAGATGTTGCGCTTCGCTAAGATGGCGTCGGTAATCTGCACGTAGTGCTCCATCGCGGCCTCCTTGCTCATGCCGGCAAGCGCCTTCCAGGCGTCAAACTTCGCGCGCTCCTTCGGACTGAAGAGCGAGGGCCGTTCGCCCTTGCAGTCGCCGAACTCGGCCTGTTTGAAGTGCGCGTAAACCGCCAGCAACTCGTCGTTGCTCAGCGGTTCGCCCGCGCGCGAGAAAGACTCGCTGATCGCCTTCTTGTTTCGCTCGTACTGCGCCTGCATAATATTAAAAAATATTGGGCGCTCGCGATTTGAAGTACGCGGCTAAATTGTACTTTTTTCGCGCCTCGAAACTCCGCGCGAGCCCAGCGCCGCAGAAATTCCCGTTCGCCTCGACGAACAGTGTGAAGTCCGCGTTTTTATAGACGGGCGTGAGCCCGAGCGGCACGGCGATCGCGCGGCTGAGCTCCGCGAGGAGCTGGTCGTGCGGCAGCAGCGAGTTGTTGCGCTTTGAAATCTCGAAGTGCACTGTCTGCGCAGAGCGCAGAAACGCGGAAAGCGCGCCCTGCGCGAGCGGCACTACGCGGGAGAGCACCGCGTCGAAGCCGCGCTTGTTCGAGTTTGCGGTCAAGTCGACCGGCAGCGCGCGCGTCAAAAACTTGGGGCGAAAGTGCAGGTCTGACTCGAACAACTCGTCGAGCAGCAGCGAGGGCAGCCGCGACCAAGCGCGCCGCTTAGGACACACGTAGCCAACGCAACGGACCAGTTCGCGAAAGTGGAAGTCAGAAAACAGCAGCTCGTGCGGCGTCGCGGCGTCGTCGACGGTCGCGTCGCTCACAACCGCGGCCGCAGCGTTTGCTGAGACGCCGGTCTCCTCGACGTCTGCCGCGCCCGCAACTCCCGCTGCAGCGCTCTCCGCGGCAGGGCCTTGCGCGTGAACCAAGTCCGGATCGCCCGCGGCGCTAGACTCGACTTCAGGCGCAGCTTCGCACGCAGCGGCAGTCGCGCCGACTGACGCGTCGGCTGCGTCGGAGTTCAGAGCGGCGTCCAGCTCCGAGTCGCGCGCAGCGTCGTTTGTCGCGTCGTTTGTCGCGTCGTTTGTCGCGGCGCGGCGCGCGACGGGCAGCAGCTTCACGCCGGCGAGTTCGAGCAGCCGGACGAGTTCGACGGCGGCAGCCTTGATGTGTCGAGGCGTCTCAGAAATTACCACGAAGCCAGGCGCGAGGTCTGCTCCAAACGCGGCGGCAGAGCGGCCTCCCTCTTTACGACTAGGCCTGCCCATCCGGCGCGAATCTCATTTTAAATTGCAGATTTTATTTGAAATCTCGGCATGAACGCTCCGCGCAAACGCAAGGGCGTCGTGCTCCCGCTCGCGCGACGTCCACCGTGGCTGCTGGCGGCGTTTGCCTGCGCCTACCTGGTCGGATCTCTCGCGCTGGTGCTTAGCTTCGTAAGTCTCGTTCGCGCGCACGCAGCAAGCGCGCCTCACATCGCGCCACGGAACTAGCGTCCGCGGCGTTCTCCAGCAGTTCAGCTTTTGGTGCACGCGTGCCGGCGCGCCGGTCCACCTCGCGCAGCCGAGAAGCTTCTTCGACTTCGCGCTCGCGCTGCCCGCCGGCGTGCCCGCGCTGCATCCGCTGCGCAGCCTACCCGCTGCGTTGCTGAATCCGTACATCGTGCAGAGCGACAAACTGCTCTACGTCCGCCTCGCCTGGATTTTGTGGGCCGTCTCGACGCTGCTCGCGCTGTTGCTGCCCGTTTGGCTGGTCTCCGTGCGCTGCGCGCTCGGCTTCCGCCGCATCCGCGCGCTCTCGGACGCGACGCACTTGCGCCTCACGGACAAGCATGGCCGCCAGCAAATCTCGCGCATCGGACACGCGCACTGCTTCGAAAACGGCCTCTGCGTGCGGCGCCGCAGCGTCACCGTCGACTGCCGCACCTACGTGCTCTCCGAACGCCGGCTCGAGCTCTGCAGCTTCCTCGCGCCGCCGCGCTTCGCGCAGCCCTTCGGATTGCTGAAGCTGCGGCACCTCGAGGCGCCGCGCGTGGCCGAGTTCGCGTCGCTCGCGCACCCGCGGCTCGCGAGCTCCGCCGCGCTCGACGAGGCGCGCCGCGTCTACGGCTACAACGAACAGAGCATCGCGGTCGCGAGCACGCGCGAGATTCTGCTCGAGCAGTTCACGCAGCCGCTTTTCCTCTTCCAGCTGATGTGCACCGCGCTCTACCTGCTCGACGACATGTGGCAATACTCTCTCTTCAGCCTGTTCACGACGATCGGCTTCGAGTACCGCAACGGGTTGCAGCGGAAGAAGGACTTGACGCTCGTCACGCAGATGCGCTCAAAGCCGTTCTCCGTCGCGGTCTTTCGGTTGAACAAATGGTGGAGGCTCTGCAGCAGCGAGTTGCTGCCTTTCGACCTCTTCAGCATGCCGCCGCTGGAAACGCTGCGCGAATTGTCAGCGTTCCCCGGCCAGCGTGCTGCGGCCGCGAAGGCCGCGAAGGCCGCGCGCACGCTGCCCTGTGACTGCGTGCTGCTTTCGGGCTCAGCAGTCGTGAACGAGGCGCTGCTCACCGGCGAAGCGATCCCGCAGATGAAAACGGAAGTCGACTTCGCCGCGCAGCCGGAGTACGCGCCGAGTGCGGAGCACCGCAGCGCGACGCTGTTTGCGGGCACCGAGTTGATCTACTCGCACGCAGCCGAGATCCAGCCGCCGCAGTGCCCGTTCGCCGCTGCGGTGTTCTGCTGCACGCGCACCGGCTTCGACACCGAACAGGGCAAAATCATCCGCTCAGTGCTCGTCAGCAAGATGGCCGGCGCGAACGAGGTGAACCGCGAAGCCTCCTACTTCCTCGCGGTGCTCACCGGCATCGCGGTGCTCGCTTCGGCGTACGTGCTGCGCGCCTCTTGGCACAGCGCCACACAGAGCCACTACAAGCTCGTGCTGCACTGCGTGATGATCATCACGGCCGTGGTCCCGCCGGAGCTGCCGATCACGCTGAGCCTCACGCTGAACTCGGCGGTCTCGAAGCTCGCGAAACTCAAGATCTACTGCACGCTGCGCAACAAGCTCGTGTACGCCGGGAAGGTCGTATGCTGCTGCTTCGACAAGACCGGCACGCTGACCGACTCACACGCGTCGCTGACTTCGGTGATCCAGTGGACCGCGCCAGGCGCGCGCGCCGCGTCGATCCCCGCCGCGCAGCTCGCGCAGCAGCTCTCGCGTGAAAACGTGCTGAACTTCGCCGCGTGTCACAGCCTGATCCTCGCCGCGGCGGACGACGCCGCGGGCGCGAAGCAGCTAACCGGCGACTACGCGGAAATTGAGAACCTGCGGCACACGCCGTTTGAGCTCGACGCAGAGAACCACAGCCTGCTGCTGCCGCGCGGCGGCGGCTCGCCGCTGCGCATTCTGAAGCGCTTCGCGTTCACCTCGGCGCAGCAACGCATGGGCGTGATCGCGGCGTGCGGCTCGCAGCTCTGGTTCTTCATGAAGGGCGCGCCCGGCAAAGTCGCGCAGTTCGCGAAAAGCGTGCCGCAGGACTTCGTTGCGCTCGCAGAGGCCGAGACTGCCGCGGGCCGCCGCGTGCTCGCGTTCGCCTCGAAGCCGCTAAGCGGCAGCGCGGCCGACAGTCTGCAGCTCAGCCGCGCGACGCTCGAAAGCGGGCTGCAGCTGACTGCGCTCGCGAGCTACGTCTGCAATCTGAAGCCGGACACGCGCGCCTGCATCGAAGCGCTGCGCAGCGTGAACGTGCGCGTGAAGATGATCACCGGCGACAGCCTGCTGACCGCGGTCTCCGCGTGTCTGGAGGCCGCGTTTCTGGAGCCGGGGCCGGTGTTCGAATGCTTCACGCGCGACGGCGCGCCGCTCTGGCGCTGCGTTGCGAACAGCGGCGCGCCGAAGTTGGCGCGCACGCTCTCGCTGGGCGACGTGCGCGGCCGCTACTTTTTGCAGGGCCCGGAACTCGAGCAGCTCGCCGCCGCGTTGCCGCAGGAACGCCTGCACGAGCTGCTGCGCGGCGCAGTGGGTTTCGCGCGCACGAAGCCGCACCAGAAGCAGTTCATCGTGGAGGCGTTGAAGTCGACGCACTGCGTGACGCTGATGTGCGGCGACGGCACCAACGACGTGCGCGCGCTGAAGGCCGCGCACTTAGGCGTGAGTCTGCTGAACCAACCACTGCCGCGCGCGCACCGCGCTCCCGCGCAGCCGCGCGACGACTTCGTGCTCGAGCCACGCGCGGTGAGCCGCGAGCGACGCAAGGCGCTCGGGCTAACGCCCGAGCACATCGCAAAGCTCGAGGCGATGGAAGTCAAGTACGCGGAACTCGAAGCGAAGCTCGCGCACTTTTCGTCTGGGCTGCGCGAAAAGCTGCTGCGCAAGTTCCGCGAGGGCATATTCCAGGCCGAAGAGCGCTTCTCGGACGCGTTCATGAACAGCCACACTTCGGTGCTCTCGCTGTTCTCTGCGGTGAACACCGAGAGCGCAGACGCGCAAATCAAGCTCGGCGACTCGTCGATGGCTGCGCCCATCACGTACAAGGGCGAGAGCATCGGCTGCGTACAGGACATCATCCGCATCGGCAAAGCGTCGATGGCACACGTGATGATGTCCTACAAGTTCATGGCGCTGAACGCGCTGATCACCGCGTTCAGCATGTCGACGCTGACACTGAACGGCGTGAAGTACGGCGAGCGCCAGATGACCTGCGAAGCGCTAACCTTTCTCGCGCTGTACCTCTCGGTGTCGAACGCGCAGCCGGCGAAGCGGCTCACGGCGCACCTCGTCGCGGACAGCCTGACGGACGCGCGGCTGGTGCTGAACATCGCGCTGCAGTCGTCGATCCACATTGGCTCCTACGTCGCCGCGATTCGCGTTGCCTCGCACTACTCGTTCTACCGGAACCCGCACGGGCTCTTCCGGCCGAACCTGCTAAACACCATTGTCTTTCTGATCTCGCTCTGCCAAATGCTCGCGACCTTCGTCGCGAACTACGAAGGCGCGCCGTTTCTTACCGCGTGGAGCGACTTCACGGTGCTGAAGGTCGTGGTAGCGGCGCTCTCGTTCGGGCTCTACTCGCTGCTGATGCACGACTCGCCCGCGCTGAACCAGCTGCTGCAGCTGGTGCCGTTCCCCGACCGCGCGTGCCGGCTCTCGGTCGCACTGATCGCGGCGTTCGACTTGGTTTGCGCGAGCGCAATCGGCTTTGCGCTGAACCAAAGCGGCCGCAAAAGAAAAACAAAAATGTGCAGCAGTGCCTAAATCACGATCTCGTACGCAGACTCGCGCTGCACGAGCAGACCAGACTCCAGCAGCCGCTTGAGCACTTGCTCGAGCGCGAACTGGCTGAAGCCCAGCTGCAACATGCGCTCGCGCACGGCGCCGACTTCGCGCGCGCCGCTGTTCAATCGCAGCAGCAACTCCGCCTCGAGCGCGGTCGCGAAAATCGTGCGCTGCTTGCCGGCGGCGGCAGGGTCGCTCAAACAGAGCTTCACGGAGCTGAACTTGTTGCACAACACAAACGTCTTGTGTTGGTTCTCCTGCTCGAACTGCGTGAGGAACGGCGCGAGCAACGGCAGCATTGAGCGCGCGCCGCCCGCTTCGCCGGGCAGAGACTCTGCAGCGCTCTCGCAGCCCCCCGACGGTTGCTTTTGCACCTCGGCGTCGCGCGCCTCGCGCCGCACGTAGTTCTGCAGCACGGCGTGCAAACAGTTGTCCATTTCTTCGGTGTCTGCCGACAGCTCCGAGCGGCTCTCGTTCTCGGTCATCGCGTCTTCTTCGTCGACTTCCGACTCGGCCGCGCCGGTCCAGCTGTTGCGCGAGATCACCATCACCAGCGAGGAGTCGATCTGCATCGGCCCTCGGTGGAGCGCTGCAGACAGGTCTTCGCACTTCGCGAACAGCGTGCTCTCGCCAACCTCGAACACCATGCTGAACTGATGCAGCAACGCGCGCGAGAGCACGAAGTCGGATACCAAAAACTCGCCGTCTAGCACGTTCTGGCGCAGCGCGTTGCAGATCGAGAACAGCATCACGTACAAGAACTTGTTGCAGTCGGAGCCGTACAAGCTAATGAAGGCAGACACGAAGTTCTTGCGCCGCGACGCTTCGTACACGTCCGCATCCGCGTCCGCGCGCGCTCCAACGCTCGCGATCGCTAGCTGCGCGGCTGCGTCAGGCAGCACGCTGCGCTGCTCCGCGGCGCAGTTTGCGGGCGCCGCACGCTCTGTCGCGCCGCTTAGCGCCTCGCGGAACAATGCGCGCACCGCGCGCCGGCATCCCAGCTCCTGGTCGAGCTGCATCTTCACCGCGCTGTTGAGCAGCTCGATCGCCTTCGTCAGCAGCGCTTCCACGCCAAGCGTCGTGCGGAACGCACGCGCGCGGATGCAGTACTTCTTGAGCTGCAGACTGCGCAAAATTCCGCTGAGCGTCTGCGAAAGAATGAAGCCGCAGCGCTTGCGCATGCGACTACACAACGCCTCAAGGTTCGCGGGAAAGTATGCGTCGTAGTTCTCGCAGATTTTCAAGAACGTCTGCGCTGTGTCGAGCCGTGCGCGCAACTCGTACACTACTGTTTGCAGCAGAGCGCTGCGCTCGCTCTCGGAGAACCCGATTGCGCCAAGCTTGAAGTTGCTCGAGTGGAAGTACGTGAGCAGCTGCTCCGTCGGTTCGCCCGCTAGCGCGCGCGGCGACTGCAGCGCGCAGTCGATGCCGCGGCTGATGTAGTCTGCAAAGTTGCTAGGCTTGATCTGCAGCCGGCTGGCGATCACGTCGATCAGCAGCAGATTCAGCGCATTTTGCTGCGAAAACCGCTGCTGTCGGTCCGCGAACTCGCGGAAACACAGGTCGACTAAAGTGTCGATCAGCAGGGTGCGGAAGCGCGCGCGCGCCTCTCGCATGTCGGGCGCGCGCAACAGACTCTTGTGAAACTGCTCTAGACTCTCCTTGAGCGAAAGGCCGTGTCCCACGGCCGGCGCCACGCTGAGTTTTTTGGCGTCATACGGCTTAATGCGATCGAGTTCGTGCGAAGCGCCCTGTCGGTTGCACGCGACGGCTGCCGGTTCTCCGCACTGCGAGAACCGCAACTTATTATAGGGCCGAAGCATGGTGCATGCTGCGCACACATCGCTGCTGCGCAAGCGAAACAAAAGATTTAGGTGCTTGGCCCCGAATAATATATCGATAAAGTATTTACCAGCGACGAGCACGACATGGTGCTCCCGGCCGGCGTGCTGGCAAGTGCAGTCGGCAAGCCGATTTCAGTCGTGCTGAAGTCTTCGACACAGGTGACGGGGACCTTGGTTAAGCACGATAAATGCATGAACTTAAACCTCAAAAACGTAACTGTCACGAAAGGCGACGAAGACACGCCGCACTACACTGATGAACTCTTTCTGCGCGGCGCGGCGATCAAATACCTGCGCCTCTCGCGAGACGCAGTCGTCAGCTACGACGCTTCCGCAAGTCGCAGAAACGAAGCGGACGGTCTGCCCGGGCGGCAGTTCGGCGAAGGCACGCGACAGGCACAGCCGGGCGCGCCAACACGCCCCACGCGCGGCCGCGGAAACGCGCGTCCATTCAGCGGCGCAAACAGAGGCGGCAGCGCCACTGGCGCAAACAGAGGCGGCAGCACTACTGGCCCAAACAGAGGCGGCAGCGCCACTGGCCTAAGCAGAGACGGCAGCGCTGCTGGCGCAAGCAAAGGCGGCAGCGCTGCTGGCGCAAACAGAGGCGGCAGCGCTGCTGGCGCACAAAAAGAAGGGACTAGCGCAGGCGTGTGCGCGGCGACGAACCCTGAGTAACTCGCGGTCCTATCGCGTCGCAGTGTAAACCCAGGGTTTCGCCTGCGCCGCAAAATAGCGGCGAATAAATTTTATGATTAAGCTGCTGTCAACGCGGCTGCTGCTCCCGCTGCTGATCGCAGCTCACGCGCGAACGCCAACAGCATCTACCAGTTTCCAGGAGTAGGTGAGACCGAGCGCACCTCAGCACGTTGCGCACTGCTGAAAGCCAAAAAAAAAATCTGGTGCTATTTGTGCAAACGGAAAAGTGTGTGCCTTGCGCATCAGCTCTGCGGAAAATTGAGTCGCAGTTCGCAGCAGCACGCCGCGCAGGTGATCGAGAATTCGCGGAAAAAACGCTCTTTGCGGCAGCCGACTTGCACGACTACGGCAACCTGTCCGCGCGCGTGGATGTGCGACGCGTGCCGGACCTTTTTTTAGTGCGTGCGTCGGACGTGCGCTGCGGCCGTCAACGCTGCGATGTGCTGCGCTTGGAACGGCTACCGATTTACGCAGATATTCTCGGAACGCTAGTGTTCGTGCCGGATTCGGTGGCGCAAAAACTCTTCGGCAGGGCGCTGATCAGAAATGTTTCGCTGCTGCGGCGCACGCTACGCTTCTTCAGCGTTACTGTGCCTTTGCTCGCGGGCGTGGCGCTGGCAGTGTACTGCTGCGCGCGCTGGAAGCACGTCGCTCTTGCAGTGTTCATGTTCGCCGTCTTCAGCGGCGCGATGAACAGCCTGCGCAGCGGAAACGTCCAACTGCTAAACTCCGCTGGCTACAGCGCGTTCAAACGCATGTTCGAAGAGGTGAAAGGCGAGCTGCCTCTGGCTGGAGGCGTCTTGCTGAGCCTGCTACTGCAAAGCAGCGTCACATGTCTCTACTTCAGCGCAAAGTTCTTTAACGAGAATGGCCGGCCCGCGCTGTGGGCGCCTCTGTTCGCCGTCGCGGCGAGCAGTTTTCTCGCAGTAAGTTGCGCAGATCGCAAATTCAGCTTGCTCTGATTCTGAAAAACTTCTCGAAGCCTTTCCTGCCCGACCCGTTTCGGCCTTAGACGCTTTCAAGACCGTTTTTTATTTTATAAAAACCATGCGGGTCTAGACACGGATTGCCGAAGAGTTCAGACCGGAATGCTTGTTTGGACGCAGCTTACACTGATTACCAGTGTTTGCGTTTTGTGGGCACTGCAAGAGACTGTCAATTCGACGCTGCCAGTGCCCGCAGTCGATGAACAACCGTTACCGACTAACTTGTTCGGCCCTTCGGCTTACGATCTGAACGTTCACGTTGTCTCGCTCGGCTCCACCGGATCCGACTCTGCTTTCGCCGCTCCGCATCCAACGATCTCCGCCGCCGAGTCACAGTTCAACAATGAATCGTTGGGTTTCAATTCTCACGAGACCGCTCTCGCCAATCGCGCGCACGATTCTCTGTCCAAGAAGTTCGACCCCCCTGACCCCGCTACGCGCGATCCATTTTACAACTACGCGATGTCTGCTCTCTCAGTTCGCGACTGCAATTCTTGTGACGAGCCATTTGACAACGCGTCTCCGAAGTTGGCAGGAAGCAACAAAACGCTTCGAGTCTCAGGTCACGGGTCGAGCGGCTGCGCTCCGGAATGCGCTTCAGTGAGAGAAGAATCGCCCGGGAAAAAAAACCCCTGCAAACTGAACCTCGAGCTCACGATTCTTTACGACGGTGTGTACGACTTGCAGAAAAACTTCGTGGCAGTCGCGCAGGTGCTGTTCAAGGCGCTGCAGGGCATCAAGCGTCGCTTCGACTCAATCACTCTATCGTTCATCACTTACACAGACAAGCCGCTGCCCACGCACGGTTACGGCTACGGACTGGGCATACCGCACGAGTACGACACTTGCTTCAAGATCGTGCAGCAGTCCACTTCTGCCTTCAGTAAGAATAGCTTACTGGAGACACTGAACAATCACACTACTGAAAACCGATCGCAGATACTCGCGCAACTGGAAGCGCTGTACCGTTCTCACGTTTCCATGACGAACAGAGTTTCAGGAAATGATACTTTGTGGTTCCAGCACACGTGGCTCTTTTCTTCCGCACTTTATCGCGAAGCTGGCGACGCGCTGACCACCATCGAAAACTTCAATGACCCTTTAGACAAGTCGCCGAACGGCCAATTCACCGGCTTGACGCGGCTACGCACGACCGGTTTCGGCACCCTGCCGTTGCTGGAGCACGATTACTTCTATCGCGACCCGGAGGGCGAGGCGCTGGCACTTTACGACCGCTACGTGAAAGAGTTTGAGGAATACAAAATCACGTGGAAGTACAACCCCGACGTTATAATGGAGGCCGAGACAATGCTCGGACCGAAGATCTTCAGCAGTCGGTTAATGACGCTCACGCCACAAGTCGTGCAGAAAGCTACAAGCTGCATTTTGACGGAGTACCCGACTGTGGAGTCCGTGGCCGAAGCGTTCACGAATAAGAGCAGGTTTTTTGCGGCCGTGCTGTTTCCGCCGTCCTACGTGCGAAACGAGACGGCGCAATACTGCCAGCGCAAGTTCGCAGTCGACGTTTTGTCAAACCCGTCCACGGCCGCAGAGCGTCTGCTCACCGCGTGCATGCTACCGCAGTACCGACGGCTGCTCGAAGGGCTACGCAACGCGCGTATTTCAGTGGAGCTTTTGTTGCACACCGACGAGGACGCAACGGTGCAGTCGCTGAAACAAGGCATCGAAGCCGATCTCGTGAAAGTACTGAGACAGGAGCAAACCTGCGAACCGTCGCAGGAAGCGATCAGAGATTTGCTCAGCACTACGCGGAATCCCAACGGCAACGGGTCGGACGGCGACAGCTCAGACGCGACAGACCCGTCCGATCCCTACGTGGAAGGCGGCTCGAACCTCTCAACCATGCAAATCACACTGATAGCGCTCGGCGGGGTAATCGGCCTTTCCGCCTGCACTGTACTGTGCATCTACGCGCGAAAGTTTCGGCGTCGCTCGCGGCGCTTCGTGACGCGGCTGACCCACACAATGACGAACGCGCCTAGCATCCCAACTGTGTGCTTCGCGAAGGATCATCGCGAGGACTTGCACTTCAGCATGTTTCACTGAGCAGGACTGCGCGAATTAGATAACTTGTGACGAAACGCGGTCGAACTTGCTCGCACCGTAACTGCGCGTTTAGGCCGAAACGACTGAATTTTATTTACCCGAAATAATTAAGAATGGCGAACGCCGAAGCTGCGCCGCGCGACTGCCTCGCAGCGGCCATGGATTTGCAGAAAAAAGCGTGCGACAGCGCGCGCGCGCGCCGATCAGTGCTCGGCGACGACTGGGCGCTGCTCAAGTCCTCCGACTTCATCTTTTACCGCAGCGTGGGTGCGCATGGCAGCGCTGGCGAAGCGGACGCGACGCATTTCCTCTTCTGCTTCCACGGCGCGCAAAAGTACAATCTGAAGTTTAACGAGCGCTGCGCACGGCCGCGCTTCCTGGAGCTGCTGCCCGGCCTGTTTCTGATCTGGGCAAACCCCGCGCTCTCCACGGGCGACTACGACGATATCGTCGGGCGACTGCAGCGCGACTGCGACCGCGTGCGCTACGAATGTTGGCACGAGAGCGAGCGGCCCGCGCACATGTTCAGCGGACAGTCGCTCGCAGTGAAGGTAAAGAACGTGCTGAACGAGTGCGTGAACGAGTTGCCGCACGGCACGCTGGGCGTGCTCGAACTGGTGCCGGGCTCGCCGCACTCAGTCATGCTGTACACCGTGTCTTGTCGCAGCATAATGAAGGAGCGGATCAGCGCGCGCTGCCTATTCAGCGACGCGTCGCGGCTGAAGCCGGAGCAAACCGACGAGCTCGTGGCGCTCGCGCAGCGCGCTCTGCAACAGCTCACGCCTGAGAACGCCGCGCAGGTCGAGGCAGACCTGTACGCGGCCGCGACTGATCAGCTAAAAAAGCTCCCGCTTCTGTTGCCTCACAGCTCGAACTTCACCTCGTTCGAGGTTCTCTGCTGGACGGGCAGCTGGTACAAGAAATTTTTCTGTTCTCCAAAAAAATAAATCGCTGGCCTCGAAAAGTCGTGTAAATCGCTTCGAGTGCGCAGTATTTGCAAAGAACATATTAAAAAAAAAAACTAAACTAGTAGTGGAAAGGACTGCTGTGCTAACTATACTTTCTTCCGATTTTGCGGAAAAGCGCTAAGTCGTCTCCGTCGCTAGCGCTGTCGCTATTGGGGTCCGCACCGGGTGCGCAGCGCTCTTCTCGCGCGAGGGCGCGTTGCTTCCGCTTCCGCCGCTGTGCTTTCCGCGTCGCAACAGCGCGACGCGACTCGGCGCGCGAAACGCGGCTGGCCTTTGCGCCAGCTGCATCGCTGCTGCTCGCTTCGGCGCTTTTGGCATTGGCGCTTTTCGCGTCGGCGAGCAGCACGAAGCGCGCGGCGTCTCGGCGCTCCATCAAGCGCGGAACTTTGAGCAGGCCGAACGCGATTGCCAGCGCCTGTCCACTGAGTCGCCGCACTTGGAAGATGTACTGCAGGTGGTGCGAGCCGTAGGCGCGGAAGTGCGAGACGAACGCAGTAGCCGCGCTCTTCTGTAGCTCCGGCTGCTCCACGAAGAGTTGTTGCAGCCACGCGAAGCAGGCCTCCAATGCGGCCGCGCTGAAGAACGCGCAAGGCCGCACGAGCATCGGGTCGATGATGCTGCGCGCAGACGCCGCTGCCGCTGCGGTCTCGGCGGTTGCGGTCTCGGCGGTTGCGGTCTCGGCGGTTGCGGTCTCGGCGGTTGCGGTTTCGGCGGTTGCGGCCTCGGAGTTTGCAGTCTCATCGGTTACGGTATCGGCGGCTGGGGTGCGCGAAGACGCGGTGAGCCGCAGCGAGAAGGCGTCTTTGTCGAGACGCAGCGTGTCGCAAAGCGCTGCGACGCTCTCCAACGGCTCGGGCGCGAGAGCCCTGAGCTGCAGAAACTCCGCGAAGGCGAGTTCCGACGGGTCGAGCAGCAGCAACGCGGAACCCGCGTGACCGACGCGCGCAGTGCGGCCGACGCGGTGCACATAGTCGTCGGGGTCGGAGGGCGCCGCGAGCTGCAGAATCAGGTCGACGCCTTCGAAGTCGATGCCGCGCGCGACGAGGTTTGACGCGACGAGCAGCTTCGCGCCGCCGTGCGCGTGAAACGCGGAGAGCGAGCTCTTGCGCTTCGCAAAGCCGAGGCGGCGGTGCACGCGGTGCAGCGCGCGCGGGACGCGCAGCATCTGCAGACAGGCGAAGAGAAAGTCGACTTCCGCGCAGGTGGAGACAAAGGCGATGATTGAGCGCGCAGTCGCCGCACGCGCGAACGCGAAGAAGAACAGCGTGCGGAACTCGACGGGCACCACGCAGAAGTAGTGGCTGAGCGTTTGCGGCATTGCGGCAGCGAGCGGAGCGGCGTCCGCAGCGGGCGCTGCGTCATTGAGCAGAAGCGGGTTGCGCAGGCCGAAGAAACGCGCTAGTTTCGCGGCGGCCGAGAGCGTGGCAGTGCTCAGGATGGTGCGGCGCTGCCGGGCGCAGCGTGCTAGAATGCTGGCCATCTGCTCTGAGGTCTCAGGCAGGCTGTAGACTTTGTCGGTCTCGTCGACGATTAACAGTTCCAGGTGGCGCAGCTCGAGCAAGCTCGCGAGCGGCCGGTACTTCGGGTTCGGCTGCAGGTACCGCTGCAGCCGGCCCGGCGTCGTAGTCAGCACGGTGTGGTGCGGCGGACGAGAGTGCGCTAGCCGCGAGGACACGAGCTTCAAGTCGGCGGCGTAGCTGCGGCGGCCGGAGAAGAGCAACGGGAAAAAGCGGCCCGCAGCGCAAAGCGCGCAGTGACTGCACACCGCCTCCAAAACCGCGTATATCTGCGCGGCGAGTTCCTGCGTCGGCGCCACGATCAGCGCCGTCACGCGCAGTTTCTCGACTGTGCTCCGCTCGCTCGACTCCTCCGCAGACTCGCATGCCGACAGCTCGGCTGGCGTAGCTGTCGGCTCGCTCGCCGTGTCCTGCGCAGACGCGCTAAGCCGACTCGCGGCGGCCTCGCCGCCAGCTTCGAACCTATTCTCAGCCGCTTGCGCTATTTCAACATCTTCACTGTCGTCGTTACACGGCGCACCGGCCGGCGCGGCTGCGCGGCTGTCGAGCAGCCGGTGCAGCAACTGCATCAGTGGTACCAGAAACGCGACGGTTTTGCCTGAGCCGGTCGGGGAGACCAGCAGCAGGTCGAAGTTTCGTTCGAACGCAGCGAGCGCGCGTTGCTGCACTGGTAGCAGCTGTGTAAAGCCTGAAACCGCAAAGTGAGCGCGCACGCAGCGCGTCAGGGCAGCCGGGCTCAGAGCGGCTGCGCGGCGCGCTAACGCGGCGTTCGCGCGCCAGCTTGGCAGTGCAGTCTCCATGTTCGCGCTAAGACTTTCTGCCTCGCTTGCGGTGCAGCTTGGCCTTGGTCTTCAGCGGAACCTGTTCCCACGCGTCCTGCGATATCGGTTGCTTCGCTTTCCGCACCAGAGCGCCGTTCTTAATTTCGGTATTAACCATTTGAAACCGAAATTCGTTTTTATTCGCGGTCCGCGCCTTTTCCTGCAAGGTCGCGAGCGCCTGCCGACGCGCGCGCACGGCCTTCGCGCGACGCAGGAAGTCGTCGCGGCGCTCCATCGGCCGCAGCTTCGCTTTCGCGGCCGGCGCGTTGCGCTCCAAGTGAACGCGGCGGTGCACGACGTGCCGCGCTGCTCCCCGTGCCATTGTAAATATTTGTAAAATAAATAGCGCCGAGTGCGCGGCTACGCGACGGCGGCGCTCGACGCGCTGGCGACGGCCGCCTTCTTGCGGCCGTTGCAGCGCAAAAACGTGATTTTTCCGTCAACTTTTGCAATGATTACCAGGTTGCGCTGCTCGCGCATCGGCTTTTTGCGCTTCGGCACGTGCCAGCCGTGGCAGAACTGGCAGTTCGCGCCGTTGTTGCAGCCTTTCGTCCAGTAGAAGGCGCACGCCTTGCAGGCGGAAGGATGCCCTACGTTGTAGGACGTCGCGTGCGCGGTGGGCGGCGCCGCGGTCGCGGAGGGCGGCGCGTCGGGCGCAAGCTGCGCGGGCGCGACGTTGCTGGCGAATTGGTCGAAGGAGGCGGACGCTATGTGCATGGGCCGCAGCGCACCGGGCGCGTTTTCGCACTCGGAAAATCGGTCCTGCATCTGTTGCACGAACTCGGTGAACGGGCCGGCGCCGGACATGAAGGCCATCACGTTGAACGGCTTCGGCTCTGCGGAGTGTTGCATGGTCGCGAAGGTCGAGGGCGTCAGACTGCCCATGTCGCTGAACATCGCGTTGGCGCCGGCGCCCTTCGGCGTTTTCGACTCGAACAGCGAGTTCTCGAAGGCGGCCATGTAGCTCGCGGGGTCTACCGCGTCCCACGCGTCGCCGGCGAGTTCGGACTTGAAGGCGAAGAGCGGCGAGACGACGCGCGGCGCAGCGAGGGCGCGCGCGTCCAGCGAGCGCGCGTTTACCGCCTTCGGCACCGTGAAGCTGCCCGACGCGTCGTCGAGTAAAAATGAGTCGACGATCGACGTGCTGAAGGGAGACAGCTCTTTCGGCAGCGACTTCATCAGCGCCTCGATCGTGCCGCTTCTCGTCGCGAAACTGCTGTCGTTTCCGTCAGAGTTCATTGCACTGCGAGATTAAGCATTAAATAAATTCGTTTTTCGTCCGTTAATGTTCTATGCGCCGAGTCTCTGCTGGGACTTTCACGCAGGCGCAAATGTGCACGCTTTTTTAACTTCACATCACAGCGCGTATCGATGACCGTCTTCGGAGCGCAACTGTCGCGGCTGGCTTCGAACTTGATCTCGAGCGACGGCCTGTCGTATTATTCTCGCGAGAACTGCATTGCGCGCGGGTTCATGCCCGACTGGCAGGCGCCGAGCTACGCCGGCGCTACACACTTTGAAGATCTCTTCAAGTCGCCGCTGAACGTGGACCTGATGGCCGCTGCGCACTCCGGGCAAGAGTCCGGCTTCGAGCAGGTCACGGCGGACTGGGGGTGCAAGTTTGACGCAACGTACGGCTCCGGCAAAAACGCAATCGGCTTCTTCGGGCCCGGCGCGAAGGACCCCGCGGGCGGTGGATGTCCGCGCGGGCCCGTGAAGGTTTACGAAGACCTAGTCTGCGCGATCCGGCTCGGGCTGCGCGACGACGAAACGGCCTTCAAAGACTTTTGCTCGGCCGACGTCAGCACGGAGGATGGCATGTTCGAGTGTCTCGCGTTCTTCGCAAACGTGCTGACGGAGACGGGCAGCTTCGCGGAGACGGAGGAGCGCGACCCGCGCCCGTACTGCTGGAACCGCGAGGACGGCAACGCCGAGTGCTGTCCCGCGGCGGACCACCGACCGTGTATGAAGGACAGCAACAAGCAGCTTTCGAGTGAAGACTACCCGGCGGACAACAACAAGTGGCTGACCGACGCGGAAGTCTCCGGTAAGTGTTGCAGTTACCATGGCCGCGGCTTCTTGCAAGTCAGTTACGAGCCGAACTACAAGGCGCTCTCGAAAGCCATGACGGGCGACGAAAAAACGCTCTGGCACCACCCGTACAAACTGCGCTCCGACGGCGTGATGGGGTGGACTTCTGCACTGTGGTTCTGGTTCAACAAGCACCCCGCGGCCGTCTCGGACGGCTCGAAGCCGGTTGCGGAAGTAAGCCCCCGTGCCGAAGTGCTAAACTGGCGCGAAGGCCGCGGCCTGCCCGGCGCGATCGCCGTGATCAACGGCATGGAGTGCGCCGGCAACGCGGACAGCCCCAAGGCGCGCCAGCGCGCCTCGCTGCTCTTCACCATCGCGCGCCGCCTCGAAGCGGTCCCGCCAACTGAACCCGGCGAGCGCAAGCTGCCGTACTACCCGCTGCCGGGCACGCAAGAGTGCGAGAACAGCAAGTGGTGTCGCGTGCAGTTCCACAACGACTCGAGCGTCTGCTCCGTGTTCCGCCAAAACTTCAGCTGTGTGGTCAACAAACCGTACGTGCAGAACACTTCAACGCCAATGGGCTGGAACCGCCGGCTCATTAAACTGAGCTCGCAAAGCGACGCGCAACCGCTTTGCGTCTTCGGCCGCACGCGAGAAGAGACGCCGGAAGTGTGGCAAAACTTGCCGTTCAACCCGCAACTCGAGGAGCGCGAGTGGTACAAAATGCTCGACGTGCACGTGAACAACGTGTGCGACTACGTGAAGCAGAAGTACGTCAGCGAGAACGAGACCACTGTGCACAAGGGCGACTCTGAAGTTTGTAGCCGCGTCTGTTGGAAGGACTTCGCAGACGACAAAAGGCTGCACGGACAGCCGTGCGAAACGCCGGAGAACCCGTGTAAGACGTTCTCGGAGTACGTCTCGCACCCGATGCCCGCGAAGAACTTCGAGACTGGCGAGATGGGCGAGTACTTCGGCGGCGTGTACCTCGGACGCGTCGGCCCGGGCCTCGTGCACGCGATGAACACGCGAGCGTTCGGCGACCGCGCCGACTCGCTTTGCTACTGGTTTGGCGGCACGGCGTGCCACTGGACTATCAGCATCGGCACGCGGCCGGACCCTGCAAAAGACGTGCACGGCTGCCGCGTGTACCCGCCGGGCGTGGACGAGCGCCCAATCGTCGATTCGCTCAAGCAGGAAAAGTTCCCGTGGCAGCTGAGCGGCAAGCACGACCGGCCCCCGAAGCTAGAAGAAGTGCTGCGCTACTACGACGCGAAGAACTGCGCCGGGCTCGATTACAGCGACACGGTGCTCGCGAAGGTGCTGCCTGAGAAAGACCGCTCGCTCGACTTCCTGATCGCGGGCCAATACACGCCAGCGGACGGCTTCGACAACCTGCGCTGGGACAAATTCGACGACGTCTCTGTAAACGAGAACAGCATTCAGTACGGCGACAAGGGCGCGCTGCGCATGTGGGAGACGATGATGTGCGCGTACCACCTCGGCGTGCCGGACGACCCGGAAATCTTCAAACGCGAGCTGTTCCGCCGCGAGGCGAAGCAGGGTGCCGAGCTGAGCGAAGAAGAGCTCGACTTCGCGAAGCTCGAGTTTGCGAGTCTGCTCGCTAACGTGATCAAGGAGACCGGCGCGCTCGGACAGGCTGAAGAGCAGGACCCGCGCGCGTACTGCAACTGGCAAGGTGGCAGCAACGACAAGTGCTGCGAGAACTACTGGGGCAACAATCCGCCCTGCGCGGACCGCGGCGGCATCTCGGAAGAATCGCGCAAGGAGGGCATGACGCCTGAAGCGACTTGCTGCAGCTACCACGGACGCGGCTTCCTGCAGACTTCTTACGAGAAAAACTACGGAAACCTGGGCAGCCACATGCTCGCAAGCGAAAAGATGCTGATTTCGCCCGCGGCGGGCCGCAAGCTGCTGGTAAACTACCCGCAGGTGATCGACCCGTTCGGCGTGACTGGCTGGACAGCGGCGTTCCTCTTTTGGCTGAAGCCGAACCCGTGCCAGTACTGCGACGGCAAGAACGCGAACACGCTCGACTGGAACGCGAAACAGTACAGTCCGCACGACGCGATGGTGCGCTACAAAACGCCGGGCGAAGGCTTCGGCAAGGTCGTGAACATCATCAACGGCATGGAGTGCGAGGCTTCGGTAACGACCGCGAGTCCGCGCAGTTTGCACGGCGCGCAGATGCGTCTGGCGCTCCTCTACAACCTGGCGCAGCGGATGCAAATTCGCGCGCCGGGCGAGCACACGATTCTACCGCTGCCAGGCACGAAGGAGTGCGACGAGTCCGCGTGGTGTCGCGGCACGTTCTCTCCGAAGGAGGAGGCGCCGTTCGGCCGCACCTCGGGCGGCTGCTGGGCGCTGACGCCGCAGCGCAAGACCGACGCGGCGGAAACCTGGACGTACTGCAAGCCGGGCTCTTCGAAGTTCATGATCAACTCGAAGTACGGCGCGCACTTCAAGGCGCCGTCGTTCACGATGCGCAAGGAGCAGGGCTGCACCGCGCTCAACGAGTTCAAGTGCGGCAGCCGCGACATTTTGACGCGCGAGAAGCCGTCGATGACGACCGACCAAGACCTCAAAAACTACCTTGCGCAGATCGAGTGGCCTTCCGAGTACGACGACACGAACTTCGAGAAACTGCGCGACATGTCGCTTGAAGAAATCTGCAGCCACGCGTACGACACCACGGGCCGTCCGGCAGTCAACGGACAGTCGTGCCGCTGGTGGTGCATGCAGTCTTCCGG